ATGGTGAAAAAGAGGAGAACTTTTACTCCAAGTGATAACTGTGAAGACTAATGAATCAAAAACCCTTTCATAGGGGAGGTCTTTGTCGTTGAAAGTTCGATTGTTTCTTTCTCTCCAAGTTATCCAAAGGAAGGCTCTAACAAAATGCTTCCATAGAATTTTTTGTAAAAGGATGGCCATTGAGGGTGTACTCCAGCAGAAGAGGGATATCATTAGGTAATGCCATGAACCATCCAAACAATTGAAGAAGGTTTTTCCAGATACCAAATGCAAAAGGGCATGTGATGAAAAGATGTGGCTGCGACTCAGATTCTGTCTTACACATTGGGCACCAATGGAGAGAGATAGACATGTAGGGCAGTCTCCTTTGTAGCTTATCAAAAGTGTTTATGGCTTTGTGGCTGCATTCCCATAGAATTTTACTTTTTTGGGATAATAGTCCTTCCAAATGGCCTCGTAAAGTCTAGTAGAAGAGACCGGGTTGTTTGGTATGAGGTCTTTGGTGAGGGAGCTTGTTGAAAAGGAACCGGTTGCTTCTAGTCTCCAGAAAATTGTGTCCTCTTCGGTAGTCATGTATATATTTGAGAGTTTGTGTGATAGGGCGGCCATTCAACTATTTCGGCTTCTTTAAGTTTCTCCTTAAACTCAAATTCCATGCTGCTGTTTCTGTCAACCAGAAATCCTTAATTGTGGCATCCTTTTTAGTAGAAAGAGAAAACAGGAGTGGGTAGGAGTGTTCCAGAGATGCCTAATGGAGCCAGGTAGACTTTCAAAAAGAAGTAACACAGCCATTGTCGACCTTGTAAGTTATTCGATCATAGATGAGACCTCGGGTTTTAAGAATAGCTTTCCAAGGGCCTTTTGCAGTGGGGAGGGAATTAGACACTGGCTTATTATTCCAAGAAGATCTTCCATATTTGGCTTCAATAACCGCCCTCCAAAGAGCCGTTCTCTCTTTTAAATACCTCCACGTCCATTTGGCAAGGAGCACCTTGTTTTTCAGCCTCATGTTTGTGATACCCAATCCTCCCTGTTCAATTGGATATTGTGTAGTTTCCCACCTGACCAAGTTGGTTCCTTTGTGTTCACGGGTATCCTGCCAAAGGAAAGTTCTAATGATGCGCTCGATAGTTTGGGCAACCGATTAGGGCAAAGGGAAGAGGGATAGGTAGTAAGTGGGAAGGTTTGATAGTGTGGCTTGGACGAGAGTATGATGACCCCCCTTTGATATGAAAGAGTTCCTCCAAGAGCTCAACCTTTTTGCCACTTTCTCGATTACCGGGTCCTACAAGGATAGAGTTTGTGTTTTCCATAAAGAGGTAATCCAAGATACGTGTTAGGCCAAGTACCTTTCTTACATGCAAACTTTGTTGCTATAGAGTCCAGCTCACTATCATCTAGATTAACCCCCAAAATTTCAGATATTTGGTGGTTAAAATTAAGTCCGGAAACATCCTCAAATGAGTGAATAATGCCGAACATGTAGGTGAGGGAGAGATTATCAAAAGGGGAAAAGTCGATCGATGATTTATATTATGATTTTTGCTGATTGGCATTAAAAAAAATTAATTTTGTATCTTCTAATTGCTTACACGAGAAAATATTTCTTTTTATTAATTTACTTATTTCAAATCAGTTGAACACGAAAATAAAAAATAAGACCGCTCCTTATTGGAAATCATCATTTTCCAGATTCCTAAGGTAAATTTGTGAAATCTAATAATTGAATCAAGAATTACTGTAACAAAAAGGTATTCATATTCATGTTTGTTTGTTTGAAGCTGCCTTTCTGCAAAAGGAAACTCCCTTAGAAGAAACCAAGGGAACCTCACACTCCACCTTATGACCCCATCTTATAAGCTTGGAACATAATTAACTAACGGCTGCCACTTCACTATTAGTTAGGTCATATTCTTTTGGATTGGAAGCCCTTCTTTAGCTAGGGCTTCCCCTGCCGGACTTTTGTTTTTGTATGCCTGTGTTTTTTGTCTTTTTTTTTTCATTTATCTTAATGAAAAATGCAGTTTCCTTAAAAAAAAAAAAAAAAAGCTGCCACTTCATTTTTTCCTTATTATTTTGGGTTTGATAGAGAATCCTATTTCTTTTTAGGATATATGTTTCAAGTCCCTAATATTTTGGATTTTTTTTCAATTTAGTCTCCATTGTTTAAAAAGTTTCAATTTAGTCTTTTTGAACATTTTTTCAATTTAGTCCCTCGCCAATGTTAATATTGTAATATTGAGTGAATTGTTGGAAATTTAGAGGAGAAAAAGGTCACAAGATTAGGAAAATTGAAAATTCTACTTAGATGACTTTTTTCCTCTAAATTTCTTCCAACATTAAATTCTATGTCATATAAATTTATCATCAACCAGTTTTAATATTTACCAATGGCGACAAACTAAATTGGATAATATTAGAGTATTAGAGACCAAATTGAAACCGTTTAATCAATAGGAGCTGAATTGAAAAACACCCAAACATTAGGAACTAAAACATATATTAATGTTTTTTTTTTCCAAACACGGAATATCATAATAAGAATTCTCAGTTAACCTCGAGATTTTGTAGATATTATAAACTCAAAAAATTCTTGATAACCTGATTCATCCTTCCCAAATCTGGGATGTTAAACATGCAGGGGGGATCTCACAGAAACTATTGAAATGGAAATCAATGTCTCCAGGAGTAATTTTGGGTGTGATATATGACAAATCCAGCTTTGTAGGTCACTGTGTAAACTTGTATGTAGTTGAAATATTTGAAGAATGTACTTACAGACGTTCGTTAAAAAAACACAATTTTTCTTTATTTTTATAAGATCCTTAGCTTTTGATATATTTTTCAAATTGTGATATATGGATAAATTTATATTTCTTGCCCGTTAATCTTCGATTTTAGGGAATGAGCAATATGTCTTAATCGTTGGCCAACAATCTCACTATTTAGATTAGAGAAAGGGTTTAGTTGTAACAACTTTTTCTACCGTGAATGTGGATTATGCATTTATTATGTTTGGGATGAATGATATTTTTTAGTACAATAAGTGGGGTGAATATTTTCGAACTCATGACCTCTTGGTTTGAGATAGATGCTAATTACCGTTGAATTAATTTGTTTGAAAGTTTAATTGTAATACTTTTTGATTGCAATGATTTTATAAGATAGTAGAAGCAGGGATTGGGATCAGCTCAGAATAAAAATTTTATGGTATATTGGATTTTTATTAGAATTGTTATAGAAATGAAATTGAGCAAAATTATGATTAAAATGTCCATAATTATGTCTTTTCTTAGAAATTTGTTTAAAACATTTTCCGTATGACAATAACCTTTTTTTTTTCTTGGGAAAATGACAATAACTTTATTAATTATAAAATGACAAACAAATCGTTAAACAACATAAAAATGCCATGTGTATAAAGAATAACGGTAAGCAGAGAATTGATAGAATTACTTCATATTTTTTATATGTTCCACACATTTTTGTTTGAGCCGGTTGTAAATAAGACCAAAAAATTAAATTAAATTAATAGTTAATTGCAAATATAGCATCCAGCTTTCTTCTTTGAAAAAAATAATCGATCATATCCAAGGTTCGAAATGTCAATGGAAATATTGAGGTCCCGATTTTAGATGTCGATGGATATTTCAAAAAAAATCACAAAAATTATACAAATGGATGGAAATTGTAGGTTCCAAAAGGCTGACAAGCACGATTGACCGGAACTCGAGAAACATTCCTCAATTCCTGAAAAATAACTCAATACACCAAAATCACCATATCATTGACATAAGTACATGACAATGAGGAGAACCATAATGATGAATTAGAAGGGAAGAATTAGTCCGAGAGTTTGAAAAATCCAAAATATTCAATAGTTTACTCGGCTGATGGAACCAAGCTTGGGGTGCTTGTTTCAAACTATAAAGGGTTTTTATGTACCTAGTGGTTGAGACATAAGGACTCCTTCTAAAAGACAACCATACAAAAAAGGTATTATTAACATCCACCTGATGCAAAGACCAATCATGACAAGTGCAAGAGTCACTAAGACACTAATAGTAATAGGTTTAAGCGTGGGACTTAAAGTTTCAGTATAATAAATGTTAGTCATTTGACGAAACCCCTAATAACAATACAGGTTTTATACTCAATAATAGACCACTCATTTGTATCCTCTAATTTTCTTATAGGTGGGCTACACGTCTTATTACGTATATATAAGAGCATCATGTTCCTCTTTCAATGGCTGCAATCCAATGTGCATACTAAAGCCTCCTCCACCGTAGGTGGTTCAACTTCTAGATAGTTAGAAAAAAATTGCTTTTGGCTTGAAAGTACCATTCTTGGATCAAGTAACAATAATGTTGCGCCTCTACCTTGGTAGGATAAGAGGGTTCAGTGCAAGTGTACATTGTCACAAATAATATCAGGAAATACTCCAAAATTCATATCTACAAGGACTAGTTTCTTTTGAAAAGACTTTTCAATTTGTTTGCGTGAGCAATGGAGTGTAGGTAGCAAAAATATTTGTGAGAGTCGTGGAAAATAAGACTTAACATAAGAAAATCAAGTTATGAAATGCGGGTGGATTTTAGGCTAGAATTTACATATATACCTTAAACGCTAGAATCCGAAATGAATTAAGCGACAACTTAATGGGTAAGTGACAACTAATTATCTCTTAGTCAAAGACGCATGCTAATTATAGTTGAGCCGAGATGATGTTGACCAAAATTCACTTGTATTATGCGTGCAATTTCTGAAAAGTCGCAAGTGCGACCGGAAACACTTCTCCCGCATTTCCTCTGTTATTAATGTTAGACTTGGGATCTAACAATAAGACAAATTGCAGAAAGAGATGATCACGAAATGAATGCACCAAACATAAAGTTAATGGTCAAATAGCAGAGGTTTATATAAACCTTCGGTCAAATACAATTAAATAGCAGAAAAATAATTAGCCAGTTAGTACTAAATTGACTTAACAATAAAAATAACAGACTAATATAACCAACCACAGCGATAAATATCTAACCACATAGATAACTAGCAAGTTCACATAAAATAAAATAATCATTAATATATCAAAATAAAATATATCATTAATATACTTGATATATTGATAAGAAACAAATCATTATCGTGGCTAATATGCTTCATATTAGGTATATCAATTATATCGATGATATATTTATATTTAGTGTTTGATATAGTATTTGCATCCAAGCTCCAATGAACACGTGCACGCATAAGAAATATGCACATTGGTATGGTGCAAAACCCAACACATCTTTATGCTCAAGTCAAACAAAGAGTTCAGTTGAGAGTAGCGAAAAGTAGGATTGGGCACGACGTAACTTGTGCCCTAGATCTCTCCTCTTATTTATAGAGGGAGTCTCCTATGGTTGGATTAGGTGGAACGACTAAATCGAGTCTGGTCAACTTGACTTGATCTATCAGTTTGACAGCTTGACCCACGTCGCTTGATTGGCCTCACTTCAAGTTACCTTAATATGATAATTTAAAGTGGCCCCCACTCTTTAGGTGTTAAAGAGGTAAAGTACGCAAATTCCCTCGTGGAGAGTAGTTGATACATTGGTGTTTCTCGGGCGTTGAAATTTGAAAGGTAAATACACTTTTGGTTGAATTTGAGGTTAAATTTTTATCTGGTCTTAAGTTAAAAAAAAGTCACAATTTGGCCTACGACCTTTAAGAAATGGTTTTGAAACAGGATATTTTTTTAAAATAATACTTT